AATTCCGCGTCCCCATTAACCGAAACGTTCACATTAACCGGAAAAGAATCGAACCATCATCACTAAGATCGATTAGAGATGCGAGCTTGAAGACCTTGCCTTACAGGTAGGACTCCTTGTTTTCGGGGTATATTTCTCTAAAAATTCGGAGAGTGTTCATTTTTTGCTGAAATTAGGGGTTGATCGGAGTTTATTTTTTGTCAGATTCCCAATTTGAAATAAGGAGTTTATTTTACTGTGTTCTTGTGTTAAAAAAAATCCCAAACAAAACGAATGAAACCCGTTCTTCCGAAGGAACCTCGACGTGCTAAAAGGCAAACACCTTTTGTCAGTAGTTTTTAAAGGAAACTGAAGTGGCATCTCCTGACGACCACCGACCCCGTCTTTTCATCTTTTTTTTGTTTATTCGTTGTGACTTTGAAATTCGGAGTTTTTCGGGTGAATCCGAATTGACGGACAATATACCGGCAAGTGTTTTGCGGCATTAAACGACATCACGGAACCCTAGTTATAGGTAATGGCCTACATCCCCTTCGCCTTTCTGCGGCCGTCTAAGTCGAGGAATAAGCTTCGACGAGAACGCGGACGAGAAGATGCGAAGAAGCCCCCAACCACACTCGGCCAATGTTGCGGCCAACCCCTCCGACGATCGGTTCCAATCTCGAGGACAAGCGAGGCACAGCAAGACTGGCCGCAATAGCCAGAGCCGTCCTCATCGCCCTGATCGTCAAAGTACTCGTTAGCCCGCACCGATCGAAGGATCCGCTCTTCAAAGCCCTCAATGACCCTTCGGGCAGTTCCGCTGGATTGCTGCTGTCGTGACGTCAGCGAGGATTATCGTTTGCTTCCAAGCACCCTGGATTATTATTATTGTTATTTTTACGACCAGTTTTTTTCTTCTTTTTTTATGTTTATTTGCGCGAGTTATACTTTGTTCGCCGATCCGATGGAGCTAATCGAGCAGCCCCAGAAATGAATTGTCGGCACACGTCGTCCTTCTGTATTCGCTATGGCCGGCTGAAACGATGGAGTTTTTTGCGCGGCTTGACTTTGTCGTATATGGAAAGCGTTGGCATGCTGTCGGACTTACATAAATGCGAAACTGAGTATGGTCCCCATCCTTCTCTTAGCAAGCGCCGTTTAATTGAATGGGGGGGTTAGCGAGTCGGAAATCTGTTCTCCAAATGACGTAACAAATGGCGGTTGTTTCGTAAAAAGAAAAAGAAAGGAGTATTTGTTTTCGTTACTCTAATCCTCGACGAAATGCATTAGCATTTAGTGCGGAGGTTCCGACTCGGCGAAGGATGTAAATTCCAGCCTCGCAACGGTCCGCATACTCTGGTGGTTCGGAAAGTCGCTCTGTTCACCCGGGCGTTCCCAAACTTTAGTGTTATGTACCCCAACCGCTCACATTTCCACGGAGTTGCAGCCTCCCGCGCGATGCGTATTTCATTTGCGCAAATTAAAAAAAAAATCTTTTTAGGATCGTGTCCGTCAGCAAACAAATGTCGACACAAAACTCTGGACAGCTACCGCCATCTACGAGCGACGGCGGCAACCTTTCGAGCCTTTCCACTCTGGCTTGCCGACTTTCGGCCGGCCATTACTTCATTCCCACCAAAGTGGAAGACCAAGCTTCGTTGGTCTTCCTTCTTCACCAAAGTGGAAAAGCTGAAAGTTTTTTTTTTTTTCTCAAGAGTATTTGGTATTTTGGCGTGGGATGAGAATGCCATGTAAAGATGAGCGTCGCTTCATGGTTACGCCGTGGCTTCGCGTGGCTTCGCCGTGGGAAGCGTGGCTTCGTGGTCAGAAGCACTCGAAATTACCGCGGAGAGCACATCAGTGCCCGTGCCACCGTGTGAAACGAACCAAACGGGAAAAATTGCAGGCCCACGAAAAAGTCGCTGCACGACGCGTGTGCCAGAGGTGACGAACGCTGGCAACTAGCTACTTTCGCTCGCTGAATTATGGGCGCTGTCAGCAGGTCGAGCGCGCTGAAATACGGCGGCGTGGCCGAGCATGTCGGCCTCTGGCGTAACTTGCGCTCTTGTTTGGCGCGACGCCGCGAAATTGTGAGCAATGAGTGATGGAAACGCGAGGGCCAACAGCCGAACCCGACGCCGCCGGTGGGTATCACTGCACGCTATATTCCGAAACTGTTAAGTGGAAGCGCAGTCGACGCTACAAATCGATGGCGGCCAATTGAGCAACGCTCAAAGTTCATCGTCACGGTTGTTGTCTTTGTTCGTCTGCTATCTCGGGTTAAATCATAGCCTGCTGTATACTGACAATTATAAGTCTGGCAGACTGCCACGAGAAGCGGCCGCCGAGATAGAAAAGATGGAGCGGCAGACCACGGATGAGAGGAGAGCCACGTGACTAGCGCCCCGCTGCGGCGAGACGCCGAAACACACTTCTTCTGAGCGAACAAGTGTGTTTCGGCTCCTCGCCGCTGCAAAAGCTGTGCGCTGACATCCAGGTTCCCCGTGAAATGGCTCTTTGATGTTCTGTGCTACCAGATCCTCGCGCTCTAAATCTGCGACAGGGCACTGAATGACTCCTTCGTCGCACTGTCAGGCCTTGTGAGTATAGAAGAGGCCATGGTTGCGCCAACGCTGTGTGGCGACGCTAAGGAGCACGCGTTCGCTTCGCTTTGGTCGAACTTGGCGTGAAACGCAGCATAAAACAAAATCTCTGAATGGCGGCGAAACATGCACCGTCACGGCTCACGGCTTCCAGGCCCAGATATGCATCGTCTAGATTTGGATTCCCCGTAAACAGTCAACTTTTTGGCAGAACTTAAACTTCAAAGCGAGATTGGTCTGATGCCCACAATCGCTTCCGCGTCTGAGAAACAATTGCAAGAGGGTTTTGGAACGAAATCGTCTGTCAATAGGCGCTCCCTGTGCACTTTTAAACGACGAGCAATAAGGTGCGACGAGAGCCAGAAACCACGAAGCCTCGAGTCCACACAGCGATAGGTTACATTTGTTTGACCTGGAGGGACCCTCGACATTTGGAATATCCGAACCACGAGAACCGAGCAAATGGACAACACGCACAAAAGATGTGCGTCATTAATTATTTTTACTGTATATGAGCCCCCCCCCCCCCCCCCCCCCCCCCCGTGGCCCTTTCTTGGTCGCGTTGGTCTTACCACGCGACGTGCGTCACGTCACGTGACGTCACGATGTTACGTAGCGTCGCGGCACCACGTGACGTAACAGCGTCGCATTATGCCATGGTGGTGACTTAAAAATGTCAGGTGACGTCATGGTGTTACGCGGCGTCACAGTATCGCGTGATGCCACATCGTCACGCGGCGTGACGTCGCGATTTCCCCGCTAAATTTAGAGGGAAAATGTCTCCGCCGAATTCAGATAAAGCATATTAAAAAAAAAAAAAAAAAAAAACACCAAGGGCTATGGCAGCATTACTGCATTTGACAAAACGCCCGAATCAAGCAATCCTTTTTCTTTCTCTGTGACCCTGATTTTTTGCGAGGCTGAAGGTTATTTTTACATGTTCTCGAAGGAATCTGTTCGTCGTCCGTTCACCGTATCCAAAGGCCACTCTGTATCACGTGCGTCGTCGCCACTTCAATATCGGCCACGCTAACGCCATACCACCCCGTTTTATGTAGACAGCATTTTCGGGGATGAATTGACTGAACACGTGCATTTTTGTCTCGTTATTATGGACTTTGTGTGTGTGTGTGTGTGTGTGTGTGTGTGTCTGTGTGTGTTTGTGTGTATATGCGTATGCGTGTGCGTGTGTGTGTGTGTGCGTGTTGATATTAATGAGACATGCTTGACTTTATGCATGATTTCCACGGTAGACCATCTTCAACGCTGATAATGGCCGCGCCGATAAATATATAAATAACGCCGTTTTGCTTTTAGCTTCGCCGCCGGCGCAATAGCTGCGAGAGTGAATGGAGAGGTATGTTGCAACCTGTCGGGCGATAGACTCGCTTTAAGGGCGAACTGAACGCCTCGGCGCCCGCTTCGAGTAGCGGGCGATCAATTATCCGAGGTTAACTTTTCTACCTTCCCGTTGCGTCCTTTTTTTATTCTTTTATCTCAGTAACTTTCCTCGGTATAAACTGACGACGAGAGGGCGCGGTAGATTGATCTGTATCATGCGCCGAGAACGGGAATGTCTAGATGGAGTCTCAATTTCTTACTTTATCGAAAATCAACTGGAGTGATCACTTGCGCTCCCGGGTTCGGCCCCTGGACCTCTTCTCTCGCCTTGGGAACCTCGTCCCTGGGCGGAATACACAAAACCCGGACACCAATGCTCGGTGCGTGAGCTCGTGAAATTAATGTTACGTGAGAAAGCTAGCGCACGTAAGTTTTCTTCCGCTTCAGAAGGATGTCGACCGCGTGTCAAAACTGGTCTTATTAGCTTTCATCGCGTCTCGGTTGTTTGCAAGGCCAGCCTCACACGGGGCTCAGTACGGACAACATCCAGATGTCTAACGTTCGTCACGCGGTATACCGAATAATTTTCCCTATATGCGTACGGCTCAACGTAATTCGAAAGCTCCGATAAACGCCGAGGCTACGTTCTCTACCCTTATCTCCGCAAGCATTAAAGATGAAAAAAATCCTCTCATCGGGACACTCCCTGGCGAAAAATAGCACGCGAGTTAAGTGTGGCTATATGTACTTTTAGACAGCGGGAAATCAGGCTGCTTCATAAGGTCTCACCCGTTAAAAAGAACAACAACAAAAACAACTTTACACGCAGTACACTAGGGCCACCAACCCGAAGTATTACCTGCGCCACGTAGCACTCGTTAACTTTTCCACATATGCGCGCGGCTCAAGTAATCCGAAAGCTCCGCTAAATGCCCGAGGCACCGGTCGTTTCCCTCATCATCGTCAGCCTCAAGAAGAATCAAGACACCTCTCATTAGCGCAATCTTTCGCTGAAGGTAGCGTACGAGTTGGGAGGGACTAGCGAATGACTCATGGACGGTCAGGGTCACTCACGGATGGTTACCGGCGTCTTTCCACCTCGACGACAGAGCAGTCGGTCGGCGTGGTCCCACGACGGTAGCTTCACGGCGGCCGCTCGCCCGAGTGTGTCTTTCGCCGGGGATCGATTGAAGCGTGCCTTGTGCGCATGCGCGTTGGATGAGGCGGGGAGAGCGCGGAGATGGGGGATGGGGAGAAGATGGGCGTCTCTGGTTGCTCTCGCGCCTCTATCGCGGGCTCCTGCCTGGAACGATGCTACCGCGTGCGGGCGGGCGGATTCCGAGCGGAGACCCTGTTGTTGACAGACGGAGAAGGGCTTCGGCTCGCTGCTTTTTTCCGCACGCTGCGACGGTCGCTCGGCGGGCCCGCTTGAGGAGGCCGTCGCACGGCGACGTATGTCGCGCTCGCGACTGGATTGTTAGCCGTCTCGGCTTTTGAATAATTCACAGACGGCGGCGGGAATGCGGCCGCGGTCGCTGAGTGTCTGTTTTTGTCGAGGGATTCGTCTGGTGCCGGCGCGTGGGATGTGTGTGCCCAACGATCTACATGGGTGGTTTCTGGCGGGGGCCTTCGGCGTTGGAGTGTTTCTTCGAAAGTTGTCTCTGTGGCTAATTTGTAAGCCGCGCTTTCACACTGCTGATACGTCTGCTGCGAGCAGAGCGTGTCTTTTGGTACGACAGAACTTGTTTTCGTCTGCGTTGTTTGTGTGCGTTGTTGTTTTATTCTTTATGTTGGTGTTTTTGTTTTGTCGCGTATTTTATGTTGTGTTTTTTATCGCAGCGTCTGAATCGTTTCGTGAAGGGAACGAGAGCTAGCTTGTTAAGCTGCTTTACGTTGGTGTTGTTATTATTATTATTAAATAATAATAATAATAGTAATAATAATAATAATAATAATAATAATAATAATAATAATTTTACTAACTTTTTTCAGCACTTGATTTTCTCTTTGACTCTTCAAAAGCAGGCCCTAGTAAACAAATCTTATATTGTTAAAAAAACGTCTTTAACAATTAAAGCATATGATTCAATAAGATCGTATAAGAGCATACAACAACGTTATAAGAACATATAAGAGCAATATAATATTATATAAGCAGTTATACGCAACTGCTAAGCTTTTTATACCTTCTTATATTGTTCTTGAGCGGTTCCGTTTGGACTCAGGCAACGAGGTGCAGTTGTATTTTTTATTTTGCTTCACATTTTTATATCTTGTGCCGCATGTTCCAAGAAGAACAATCCTTTTCATTTTAATGTCCTGACATGTTTAGTTTCTGAGAAAAAAAAAAAAAAAAAAAAACTCAAAGAAGCAGGAAAGAACGACGAGGTTTTGACGATTGTCGTGTGTGGCGTTTTGAATCACTCTCAATCTCAAAATATTCAAAAGAGAGCGTCTATATATTTTTTTGTGTGTGATATATATGAAAGTAGGTAAAACGACATTATAACTACTATTTATTATTCGTCGCTTCAATCTTTGTAAAAATCCCCAAACATGCCTCCGCGAACAAGTGTGACCTAAATTGCGGATCTGTTCTTTAGTCGACTATGTTTAGTTTTGTTTTTAAAATAATACCACGTGTAGAACCTTTTATTGCCTTTCAGATTAAGCGAAGTTTGTGCCTTTCTCAAGTACAAGTACTGAGACTTTTTGTTTTGTTTTGTTTTGTTTTGTTATTCTGGTCTTCTCCACGATCGATCGCAGAAAACGAACTTTCCGTTCCACTTGCTCTTTATCGCTGCACCGTTGGTTAGTTTGCGTGCTGTAAAAGTTGAGGAAGGTCAGTGGATCGACTTGATGGAGGTCAACGATGAAAGCGTTGCGGGCAGCCGGCGTAGACTTTCCATTTTCCCGGGCGGGGCAGGATGAGAAGTTCTCCCGGGGGGGGGGGGTGCTTTTCCGCGCAATTTTTTTTACACCGGCAATTATGAGTAGTTTATTTTAGGGGATACATTTTACAGCGTGTGTATATCGCCATGTGTTTGTCGCTGTGTGCGTTATTTTGTTTACATGCCACTACTAGAAGCTCGTTACATGGCACATAAACAGCGTCTCGGTAAGGATCATGGCCCAGGGGAGGGGCTCTGCCCCCCCCCCCCCCCCCCGGATCTCACAAGGGGGGGGGCACGAGCCCCGATGCCCCCCCCCCCCCCCCCCCCCCGTAGTCTACGCCTATGGTTGCGAGTACAAGCCAGTGTACGAGTGCATGCCATCAATTCGATGGTACAGACTCCAGAGCCATACTGGGCCCAAGACAACTATCGAGTTTTGAAAAATTTTAAAACGCTCGCAGAAATTAGGATTCCTAGCAGATGACACACCCGATCGCATTGCTGAAGGTTGAGACACCGAGGTCGTTGAATCATCGGATACCCTCCAGGCTGAAGATGCTTGCCGTCTAGAGAATTCGAACTGGTGAGTGTACCAAGTACAAGTAAACGTCGAACATAAAGTACGTGTTTTGTCTAGAACATGAGTAGAACTTGTTTACTAGGTTCACTGACTCTCCTTCTTCTACCTTTACAACAACATTAAGCGATGAAAAGCAAATAAAAGAATCCTTGTCTGCTTGGATTGCTCGCGGAGGTGCGGAGAATAACAAAAATATGAAAAAAATATTACACGCGGTCGCGGTAAGCTCGACTCCCATGACTTCCGGCGATGCCTCCCCCGTTCTGACCGCCCCGACATCTTGCGGTACATTGTTACGTCACAAGTCACTGGCGGGCACTTTGAATTCGCCTTCGTATTTCTATATTTGTTTTTATAAAAAAAAACACTGCGCATCTGTAAAGTGAAGCAATTTTTTGGTGATGTCCTGACACCGATTCAATGCCTTGCATGAAAAAGAAAATCTTTTTTTGGGCGTGTCAAAGGTTTTTTAAGATTTGATGGCCATATATCTCGCAAGACTAGCTGCGCTTTGCTCACGTTGAGTTTGGTGTGTCGGATGACGAAATAATTTTGTAATCCGGAAACTGTCGTAACCCTCTATCGCTCTTTAACAAGGTCTCAACTAGAATATGCGTCACCTGTGTGGAATGAAGGTTGTAGGACGACACGCTTAGGGCTAGAACGACTGCAAAACAATTTTTAGAGCGCAGCACTTAAGCGCCCGTTCCCGGCTTGAGCGGCGTCGGCGTCGCCTTTGCCGTCGCCGTCGGCGTAACCGCGCGGTGCATTATGGGTAAATTTTCCCGAAGGAACCCGAGGTCCTCCTGAAGAACCTCAGGTTCCTTCGGGAGGACCTCGGGAGAACCTCGGGTTCCTTCGGGAGGACCTCGGGAGGACCTCAGGAGAACCTCGGGTTCCTTCGGGGGGACCTCGGGAGGACCTCGGGAAAACCTCGGGTACATTCGGTGACCTCGGGGAGGGGGGTCACGTGACCCCCCCGAGGGCACGTGACTCCCCGAGGTCCCATGACCCACCAAGGTCACGTGACCCCACCAGGTCACATGACCCCCCCCCCCCCCCCCCCCCGAGGTCGCATGACCTTTTCCCCCGAGAACACGTGACCCTCAGTACCCTTCCCTCCTCCTCCTCAAGAGCTGCGCTCTAATTCGGCGTTACAGGGAGTTGTAAACGGCTTTCATTTTTTAATCTATATATAGATATCGCTATCTGCGCAAGGAAACGCATACATCCAAAAACTAGGGTAATGAGCGGCCTAAATGTGAACAGCCTTTATCAGCGTCGGGAAAAGGCAGATCTTGTATTTCTTTTTCAGAGACTTCATGGCATTGCCGACTGTTCTGACCGATTGTCCCAGATATTTTTCAGAGCACATACAGCAACTTGTCTGACAACGACCTTTTTTGCTCACTGACCTAATTTCCTAATTTGCCCGTGCCATTTTCTTTTTGGCAGTCCCGTAGAATCCTCCTATTTCTAATGCTGCACCTGAATACCCTCGTCTTATTTGATCATTTTACTCCTGAGTTGAGGTTAGTGATAAAACATAAATCTCTATGAAATCTTACGCGCATGTAGTCGTGAAGTGCAATTTGTTCAATATGTATGCGTGTGACATGTGGGTGTGGCAGTACTAAGACTGAGTGGTCCTTCCTGGACACCAAATAAAAGCAATTCTCGGTTCTTGATAACATAATAGCGTCCATAATAACATGTATGGTGCACGCTTTAAATCCTAAACTCAGACACTACGCTCGTGAATTATTGCAGTTAAATATATGCTTCAAGTCTGAAAGGTGACATGGACTGCCGCCATTAAGAGCAACCTTTTTGGTGAGATGGTCAGCGCAGAAATTGAAACACATGTGCGATAAACTAACCGAAACCTGATTTTGCTTTTGTCGCGCAGCAATAGAAAATCTGTTGTTTTTCTTTTATTACCAAAACCACATTTGCCTTGTACTACGTGCAGTAAGAGCCTTTGCTTAATTTTTTTTTTAAACAGCGTGGAATTTGTTTTTTGGGTTTTTTTTTAGTATTGTATAATTTGCGGTTGATTTTTCACACGTGTTTCGACCTTAACTTCCAAACAACACATGGCGCGATTCCTCTTCGTTTTTTTTTTCTTCTCTTTTCATAGGAAAGTTGTAATATATATTTTTGATGAAATATTCAAGTTTACCATATTGTATTCTATGTAGCGAATGTTTCGTATTTGGTATATATAAAAAAACAGAAATTACATACTTCTATTTTTTTTTCGTACCCGCTCATGCGATTTGAAGTCGAGGCCGAAATCGATTGGCTTATGTAAGAGCCGCTCAGAACTGGACAAAAAGCGCTTCTCTTTTTAAACCCGAAACCCGAAGCATTATCGAACCCTGCTGTATAGATAAGAAGATTCAATTTGCTCTTCAAACATATGTCTGCCAACACCGCATTGTGTTCATATCCATTCAGTATAAAAAAATACAAAAATAAAGAACGAGTTTGCTTCATCTCTATGCTAAAGCTGAGGGGCCAGGTGGATATATATATATATATATTTTTTTTTTTTTTTTTTGCAAGTTACGCAAGAGTGTAGCTCGTAACTTCTCTACTAAATATAACGGAAAATGGAATTGATGTACAACAATTCGGGTTTTCCCGCTAAGTTTAGCGGGAAAGCATGTGGTAACACTTTTTGACATTGTCAACTTTCTGTGACATTCCGTTGAATAACACAAAGGTGTCAAGGAAATATCGACATTTTAATTGATTTCGGTTCTATGGCACCCAGGCGATTATATACAGTCCTCGGGAAGTTTGCATTCTTTTGTCAAGAAAAGCAGAAATTGATAACTTTGTGAATGTGACCTGTAGGTTTCAAAACAGAAAATGTG